CACTCAGGGATCTTCCGTCCCAAGGACCGGCCCATAGATTTCCACTGCTCTCCTCTCCTCCGCCTTCTGTACATCCGCACGTCAGGCACTCAGGGATCTTCCGTCCCAAGGACCGGCCCATAGATTTCCACTGCTCTCCTCTCCTCTGCCTTCTGCAAATCCACGCGTCAGACACTGGACGCAGCTGTTCCTCCTCTTCCTCATCAGCCACCTCCAGACCTGGGGGCTGTTGACTCTCTATCAGAGGGCTGATTGACAGGCCAGGCTCCGCCTCTCTCTCTCTCTCTTTCTGACAGGTGCCTTCCTTCTTCCCCCTCTCAGGGTCCCTTGATGCTGACCCTGACTCCCATACCATTCCTCATGTGATTTGGCTGCTGGAGGGGCTGCCAAGCAATTCACAGGGCGGATTATGGGCCTAGATACCTGAAGCTCTGCCCACCTGAGCGGGAGGGGGGAAACCTGGCCTGGGGCTGGAAGGAGGGAGGGAGGTAGGGAGGTCGTACCTTTCAAGAGTCCGACAGCTGCTTCGGGCGAGAACATGAAGGAGTCCAGGGAACGGGCGATTTCCAGCAGGCCGGTGAAGTGCTGGGCCATGTGGTCCCGGCACACCGAGCAAATGTTATGGATGGCTTTGGCGGCGATGGAGGCGAGGGCTTTTTCACACAAGCCCTTCATCAGGTAGCCCAGGACCGGATCTGTGGGCGGAGGAAGGAAGGGGGAGAGGAGAAGCTGGATTGGGAGCGCCCGAGAGGGTTTCCCAGCCCTCCTTCCTTTCTTCATCCTTCCAAGCCTTGCTTCCATTCACCTATCCATCTTTTCTTCCATCGATCTTTTCCATCCATCAATTCATCCTTCCTTCCTTCCTTCCGTCTATCCTTCCATATTTTCTTCCTTCCTTCCATCCATCTTTTCTTTTACCCTTCCTTCCATCTTTTCTTCCTCCTTCTTCTATCCATCCATTTTTTCTTTCTACCATTCCTTCCTTCCACCCATCTTTTACCCTTCCTTCCATCTTTTCTTCCTTCTATTCCTCCATCCATTTCTCCTTCCATCCATCCATCCATCCTTTCCTCCTTCCATCCTTTTCTTTTACCCTTTCTTCCATCTTTTCTTTCTCCTTCCTTCTATTCATCCATCCATCTATTCCTCCTTCCATTCCTTCCACCCTTTTCTTTTACCCTTCCTTCCATCTTTTCTTCCTCCTTCTTCTATTCATCCATTTTTTCTTTCTACCATTCCTTCCTTCCACCCATCTTTTACCCTTCTTTCCATCTTTTCTTCCTTCTATTCCTCCATCCATTCCTCCTTCCTTCCATCCATCCTTTCCTCCTTCCATCCTTTTCTTTTACCCTTTCTTCCATCTTTTCTTCCTCCTTCCTTCTATTCATCCATCCATCCATTCCTCCTTCCATTCCTTCCACCCTTTTCTTTTACCCTTCCTTCCATCTTTTCTTCCTCCTTCTTCTATTCATCCATTTTTTCTTTCTACCATTCCTTCCTTCCACCCATCTTTTACCCTTCCTTCCATCTTTTCTTCCTCCTTCTTCTATTCATCCATCCATCCATTCCTCCTTCCATTCCTTCCACCCTTTTCTTTTACCCTTCCTTCCATCTTTTCTTCCTCCTTCCTTCTATTCATCCATCCATCCATTCCTCCTTCCATTCCTTCCACCCTTTTCTTTTACCCTTCCTTCCATCTTTTCTTCCTCCTATTCTTCCATCCTTCCTTCCATTCATCTATCTTTTCTTCCTACCATTCCTTCCTTCCACCCATCTTTTACCCTTCCTTCCTTCTATTCTTCCATCCATTCTTCCTTCCTTCCATTCATGCATCTTTTCTTCCTTCCATCTTTTATCCTTCCTTCCTTCCATCTTTTCTTTTATCCCTCCCCCTATCTTTTCTTCCTTCTATTCATCCATCCATCCTTCCTCCCTCCCTCCGTCCCCTGCTACCCACCCATCCAGAGATGTCCAGTCTGAAAAGGGAGGGTCTCAGAGAGGGGTCCCACCACCAACCAAGGGATTGGAATTAATTCACAAGGTGTCCTTGGGCTCCCGTCTGCAGGGAGCGACCCGCAGCCTTCCCCCCCCCCACCCGCTTTGCCTGGCCCTTCCACTTACCCAGGAAATGGGGGTTCCTGTCCACCACTTCGCTCATCTCCCCCACCAGCTCGATGCTGGTGTAGCGCACTGCCGTGTGCACAGCTTCGGGGAGGCGCACCACTCCGTCCAGTACTTCCACCAGAGTGGGATTGTTCTCTCTGCAGCATGGGGGAGGGGGGAAGCAGGAAAATTCTGAACCCTCAAAAACCAACACCATGAACCGCAGGCACCCCCAGCGTGTCCCTGGGCTTCCCAACGATTTAGGGGACCCCTGGCATATAAACCTCACACATTCCCCACCCCCCCTACACACACATACACAATTTCTCCCATCCTGTTCTGACCGAGGCTTCCGGAGAGCCTGAAGCCAACTCCTCAGCAAAGTCTTTCAAAGGAGGATTTACGGTCACAGACCTTATCTGGCTTGGAGAGCTGCCAGGCCAAGATCTGCAGAACTTGGCAAGGAGTCTCGGAGAGTCACGAAACAATGAAGAGAACTAATGGTCTCCTGCAACCTCCACTCCCCTGTCGCTCCTCTTTGATTCCCTCTGGGAGGGGCCATTCAT